ATTCTCATCAGCACTGCTATGCATTTATTCACAGCGGCGGTACTCTGTTCCATAGCTGTGCCTATGTGTGATTCTAATCCGTGGTATTTTCCCTCCGAACGACCAGGAAAAACTGACGAGGAGGTTGAAGTCGTTACGAAAACGTCACTTTGTGCTCAAGGTTAGTGGAGGGTCACTTTGTGCTCAAGGTTAGTGGAGGATGAGTTTTTCTAGTCTTTTCTGGCTTTCCAAGTGAATGAGAAGACGTCTGTGAAAGTATCTCACAACCTTTGGATGCGCTAAGTTTTTTGAGGAAAAAGGAGCGTTTTAGGTCCTGCTGTTAGGGAAAATTTCTGCAAAATATGGCCTTTGCTCGGGATTCCTCCTGTACGACCCCTCTCGCATGCCACCTGTCATTTTCACCTACCTCCCTTCCCCCCCTCCCCAAGAAATCTCCGTCAGGGCCTAACATGAGTTGGGATTTTGGTCGAGTCAGACCCAATAAAATGTTTCTTGACACCGCCCCATCCCTGGTTATCTTTGATACGATCGAGCTGTCGAGCTGGGTGGGTGTACACGCGTAGCACATGTAAAACGAGAAAATCGCGAAAAGTCAATGGTCGGGAAAGTTTTTCCCAACGCCACACATTTCCCTCAGAAGGCGGCGAACCAGTGACCGATTACGTCCCCCCTATGTTGGTAATGCCTAATGTGGTGTGCCCTGACCTCCGTCGAGCAGGTGAGTGAGGAAGAGAAAGGGAAGATAATGGGTTACAAGGCACTTGGAACAAAAAACCGAGAAAGGCGGCAACCGGAAACATTCCTCTGAAAGGCAAATACGCCCCGAACCACAGATGGGGATCCCCAACGTACGACGTGTCTTGAAAGGATACCACTTCACCGCTCTCCCCTCCCCCATCCCCTCCCCGTATCGAAGGGTTAAGATTGCAGCGCAGACGGTTGAAGTCGCTGCGGGTTACTTCTGCTGAGCAGACAGTCTCTGACCGTCTGCTACTAACAATAAGCCTGAACGAAGGGAATGCTATAGATATATTGAACATAGTAGGCGCAGTTTGGCGACGGGGGGCATTTTGCCTCCCATCGATAACTCGACCCAATCTAGATAGCCTTTTCTCAGTTGACACGTTTTACCATGGTGGCTAGACGAGCTTGCTCCAGCTTCACAAGAGTTCACAAGTTTCACCAGAGTGAGACTTGTAAACCGGAAGTAGTGAAGCAGTGAAAGTGCAAAATGCCCCCCCCCCCCCTCGTCGCCGAACTGCGCCAACATAGTGTTCCGTTTCGGCCTTGACTAAGCCTTGACCGGGGGAAGAGTCGCAGAGGTAAAGTGGGGAGCCCCCCCCCCCAAGTATACCGGAGCGCCGGCTTTCTAGAATACTCTCGGAACTTCTATTCTATTTTACCTTATTTTTTGTCCATTCACTAAAATATACAGCTTTATATTCGTTGCTTTTTCAGAATGTACGACGACAGTGGATTGTGACAACGGTTTAAGCTGTTTCCATGCAACCAGCAACAGTAAAGGATGCTGTTTGATGGGTACGCGTTTCATGCTGAAACTACCCAATTTACCTTTAATGGGAGGGAGGGGGGGCGCTTTTTCTTTGGGGCGATTTTTCGCCTCAGGCTATGTTTGCCGTCTTTTGTTTCATTAGTTGGTATACATATTTAATTGTTTTCATTCGCTTGATGCTTCATGTAGAATTGAAAAAATCTAAAAAAGCTGACCGGTGTTGGTAAAGCCGGGAGCCAGTAAGCCACCATATGTACTAGGCCACAATTAGTTCTTGCTTATCTGCGTGAGTTTCTGCTTGTCTGCGTACTCTCAACAACGCTGCAGTTGTAGTGAGGGAGCAGACGAGTAGGTTATAGACAGCACTCTCCCCCCCTACTTTCCTCCGCTCACCCTCGACAGCAGTGTTCAGGGGAGAACTAAACAAGGGAGGTCGTTCAGGCCGTGGTGAGCTTTTTCAAAACGGTTTGTTGCATGTTGTAGGGGTCCATGCGAGGACCACAGCGATGGGGTTCATTTTTGCTAAACGGTTCTGGGAATGTCAAAAAAAGGTCAAAAACAATTCGAAAAGAATGGGCTTTTTAAACCACCTTATTCCCCTCTATTCTAGCTGTAGCGTTGACAGTGTATAGTATGTAGGGTATTCTTTGAGCAGGCATGAAGAACAGCGCAAAATAAGGTCAAAATCCAAATGGTCTACTTGGCATGCGGTGAGCTGCATTGGAGTTTTCCGGTCATCTGCGCATATCTCTTCAACAGGTCCTGTATCGCTAGTGGCAGATGGTGTGGTGGATAGTGCGACGGGCTCTCGGACGGTGGGTTTGTGGATCGGATCCCCTGCCGACACAATTTTTGCATTTTTCACATTTCTTGCTTCTTGTATTCCTGTATGCCCCATAATGTGTATGACCCGGATATACGCCATTTGAAGGCACATTCCATGCGGGAACGGTTCACAAATAGGCCTCACTCAATTATTGCGCTCGCGAAATACTATCGAAAAAACTCTTCATGAAACTTGGGTTACGGCGGTTATCCGATGCTCTGATCATGAACACGACACTCATTTTTGAATATGGCGCAATGTGTCGCTAATTTGGTGCAAAGGCTTTCTCGTACTACCATCATTGTCAGTCTGCGCGGCGGGGCTATTTAGCGCCGTACTGGCCCCAGATGGCCTCCGCAGCAAAAATAAGTATCTGAACCGTGATCAGGACCATCAATTACCCCTACGTATAGAGTTACGCCGAGAAAAATTTTCCCGAGCTTTTTGTGTTATGTTGCCGGCCATGTCTCCAGCTAGTGGCTATCAGCCCCCCCCCCCAAGGAGTCGTTATCCAACATCGTTAAGAGGAAGCTTTTCATTTGCTAGTATGCAGACGCAGAATTAAAAACTACACAAAAAAAGTGACGCACATACACTGCACTCCTCTCATACCTTTGATATGAGAAACAAAAACCTTTCTTCGGGCAAGTGGTAACGAGTTCTTTCTCGAAAGCATAGACGGTAAAAGTGAAGAAAATCCAGGATGCTCGTTTAGTGGCTCCGAAGCTAGCAAGATGTTCTATGAAGACCTACTGAAGTTGAGGGGCAAGAAATGAAAAATTTCTGGCGGTTCGTCTGCCAGAGGGAATACTTAACGGAGGGTTCGCCTGTCACTGCCATCCAAGGGGTCAGGTCCATGACCACTAAAGAAACTCGAAAATTTTTTTCGCTGAAACCTTCTCAAACAGGGGTAATCAATGGCCCTGATCACGATTCTGACAATTATTTATGGCGCCGACGTGATCTGGGGCCAGCGTGGCGCTAAAAGGCCACTGCGAGCGCGAAGGGATGCTGCATAAGCCCCTAAAGAAATTGCAGTGTACCTCACTGTATGCCAAGTAAGGCACTTGTATTTCAAACCCTTATTCAATGTTCTTTTTCATGTCTAGTTGAGAAACACTTTATAAACTCTATGTATTCTGCTTTACAGCTGAAACAGATGCGAATGAGATGATAAAACTTGCGTATTTTAAGCGATTTGTTTTTATTCCTTTTTTGACATTCCCAATAGCGTTTAGCAAAAATGAAACCCATCTGTGTGGTCCTTGTATGGACCCCTACAACATGCAACAAATCGTTTTGAAAAAGCTCACCACGGCCTGAACGACCTCCCTTGTAAGGAACTTCGGTTATCAGGAAAAATACTCTGGAAGAGGGTAGAAATGTTGGGGACGGAAATTTAACCGATGATAGGTAGAGTGAGAATGAGGAAGGGATGAATGTCGTAACGGTAAAGCAAAATTTCAGGGTAGGGTTCGCACGCAGGGTTTGCACGCCGAATTTTCGCCCAGCAATCATAACCATCTTCCCCCCCCCCCAGCAATCAACGGTTGGCCATGCTTTCGTGTACTCTCCAACTATCTCTCGGTTTCATTCAGTTGTCGTTGTTCCCCTTTGTTTGGACTGGTTACGCGCGTTTCTAGAGAGGGAGCGGGAGCTCCGGTTCCAAGTATTTCCATCCGTGCGCACCATTGGAGTTCCAGTACGCCAACAATCCCACTATGACTAGGCGGACGCAGAGTAGGGCGAGAAGACGACCATTGTGTCCTCCTCATTGGGATCCCTGCTTCTAATACTGTAAGAAGTAGGAGCTGCCAATTGGAGGCAACGTACAGTGGTAATGAGCTCTCCATTTCACCAAATTATTGCGAAACCGGTTTCGTAGGCATATAAATCAATTCTAAATGAGGTGATGATGTTCTTGATGCCCGGTTCACGCATCAGCCAATCAAAACTGCTGCCGGTCGCCATAGCACATCGCTTCATGTAGAATTGAAAAAAATCTGAAAAAAGCTGACCGGTGTTCGATTCGCAACGCGGGACTTATCCAGGAGAATATTTTCTGACTTTTGGTTTTTCTGTTCCATGCACATTGCGTACCCCACCCCTCGTTCCCCCTCCCCTTCATCGGCGGTCGTTCCCCTCCTACACCTTCATCGGCGGCGCCGCAGAACAGTTTCTGAAAGCTGTCGGGAGATGCGGGCTCTGGCCGCCTTCAAATTTAAGAGAAATTTGATAAGATGATGGGTCTGTAGTCTGAAGGGGTGCTAGGTGGGTCTGTAGTTTGAAGGGGAGCTACTTTACGAGAAAATTTAGGGCGTATTCAGCACGAATCTTCATAAACCCTACGACAAGCCCTGACCGTATAGATCATCGAACAAACTCCGCCCATTATTTTTACAGTATTTAGCTCTGAAACCAAATGAAACCGGTTGTGTACTGGACGATCAATGCCGACGAGCTTGTGAGAGTACGGTATGTGAGAAAACCAACAAAGGCTCAAGATGTATGTGCGAAAAAGGACGACATTTTCTGTTCAACAAATGCTGTAAGATCTTCACTCCATCCCAATTTATGATTAATGATTTTCATGACAATGTGTTACAAATTTCATTGTGGAAACCCTTTAATGCATGTTTCAGGGAAGAAATGTCCTGAATTTGCGTTTCCGGAACCTGTTGTAGATGAGCTTGGTTTCAGCAGGTAATGTTGATAAAGAATCATTCGATCATTATTTTCCGGGCAGAAACGCACGATACCTGGCTGGTTTTGTCCCTCACAATCTAAAAGGAACTTATGGGTGGTGAAGAAGATGCGCAGAAAAGAGCTCGGCGCATGCGATATTTCTCAACTAGTTGATACACGATCTATTGTACCCCCCAGCTCGTGTCAAATCGTCTGCCGTCATTATCCTGCAAATGAAGGTGTATGACGGAGCCTTGGTTTGACAGCCAACAGGCAAGCCCGTTTCCCCCACTGCCCACCTGCCTGAGGATGCATCATTGCTGGGAAAGCCGCCCCGGCTTCGCTCCCATCCCGTCATACGCCCCATCTTGCACGAATCATGATGTGGTCCTGCCGCGAATCTTGTGCATGCACATGCTGCCTGAACCCTATCCCACGTCTCCGACCAGCCTAGATTAACCCGGAATAACATTTTTTATGAGTGAGTAGTAAGACCTCTTCGACCCTCATACCAATGTCCTTGCCGTTACGACAGGGGTTTCGTATCTTCACAGCATGTTAATACAGAAGTAGTATTACTTTCGAAATGAGATGGAGCTGTGGTTAGAAGCGCCGCTGACGAAGTGCCCGGTCAGCAAGTTCAAATCCAATAACGGCTAACTAGCTCTTCTTCTATTAACCTTACTCTACTAGTCGTTAACAGGCTTGCTTGGGAAGATGAAGCTAGAGTTTGAAGTTTTAAGTGCAGCCACCTTGGTCATATGAATGCGGACGGTTCAAAAGCGAAGAGGACGGCGCGCCAATGAGAATGGCACCGTAGCTGACATTCTCGGCCCAGTCAATAAGCGTGGATTGTTCTTTTGCTTGATCCTGGATGAGTTTCGAGTGCGTGGCGCACCCTACGCAATCGCCATTTATCGAGTACTTTCCAATGACTGTCCACATTTTTACATTTTTACTAGTTATTCTGTAGTTATCACGTAAATAAAATAGATAATCGATTTTTGTTGAGGTGCACGCTAAGAACGGACCTAAAGACAGCTGCCAACTTCATGCGCCGATTCCGACGAGCGATGAAGAACCACTTCTGCTGAGAATACCATTCCAAGAGGGCTTCCAGTTTCATAGAAATATTGGGAGAGGAGCCCAACTGTTGTTATTTCGTTCTCTGTTTGTTTCGCACGAGTTTCTGGTACGGTAATGGTTTTTGGAAATAAAAATGACTAATGGTTCTTGGAAATAAAAATGACCTTTATTCGAATCATTTCGACATTTTTACAGCAATATTAATACACATGAAAATGTGTCATTCCAATCATCAGATGTAAGGCACATTAGCATCAATCAATAATCGATTTAACTCTGAGTTGGATATGAACGGGAATGTGTGCGAAGAAGTCGATCGAACGATTGGACATGGCAACAATTCGAAAGCTCGGGTTTAGGAGCATTTGAAAACTCAAAAGACTGAGATAGCTTTCCCAGGAAATCCAAGTTGCGGCGAAACTGGCTTAGCGCGTGAATCTCCGAGCCAGTTGTCACAGGCTACTGTATCATTTTCGCGTCAGATTAAGAAAGTCGTGAGGCGACTATCGCCCAGACGACACCGCGTTCGCCGCAATTCGGATGTCATGACCCACATCACATTCTGGACATTCGGCTCGGGAATCAGTTGCCGGTTGCTGTTGTCCATTCATCGATCATGAACATACCGTACCCGCAGATATTTTAGTGGTGCAGTATACGCAGTTATTGATCAAAGGACCGTCGGTCAGCGATCGATATCTATCTGAATTGCGGTCACATAGTACTGGTTTAGAATTAACCATTTTTCA